CGCAGGCCGGGAACTTTTGGTGAGAAAAGAGCCTGTTTGTTGCAGCGGGCGCGCTCGGCAAGACCGTGCCACCTGGGAGGGAGCTTCTGTCTCTGGATACGAGAGCCGGTGCTGAGCGCCTTCCCGGAGCAACCCCGCGACTAGTGCCCCGAGGCTGACCCTGGACCCTTTGGGGCATCTCTGGCAGCTTCCCTGGGGAGACGAGCGGGCAGGCGGGACCGGCGGGGGCCCGGTCTCTGCACCGTTGCCTGCGGCCTGTGCTCTGGGGCCGGCGTGCTGCCTTAGCCCGTCTCCTCCGGCGCCCGTGAGAGCGGCACGCGGCTCCCCGCGCCCCGGCGTGGAGGCCTCCTGCTTTTGCAAGACCCGCCCGGGAGTCGGCGCTGACCCTAGGGCTGCTCACCAGCTCCAGAGCTGGGCCAAGGCCTCAGGAAGAAGCCTGCTCGCAGGGAAAGTGCCCAAGGCCAGCGAGGACATGCTTACCCCTGCAAACACCTAGCTGCAAAAATAGCCAGGCAGGGGCCGGGGCTTCCCGGGGGAACAATGCTGGCAGGAGGAAGTGGACACTGCAGAGGATCCTTCCCCGCCGGCCTCTTGGGCCGCGCAGCTGAGCTGCTGCGTCTACCCAGCTCTGCCGAGACCTTGAACCTGCCAGAGATTTATTTGCTATGACATTGGCATCGTATCGGAACATCTGGCATTCGGCTGATAGCGGCTTGGGATCGGGGCGGAAGCTGCCTCTGCAGAGCCTGGCTCCCGGGACAGAGCCGTGTTTTCGTGCGCGCGCTCGCTCGCTCTCCTCTTCAGCTGCGCCGCAAGGAAAAAACAACCCGGGGCCGGTCGCTGCCTCTGCCCTTCCCGCTCTGCCGCGGGGCCCGGATGGCCCTGCCGGGGAGCCCCCGGTGCCAGCCGGCACGGGCTGTGCCGGAGGCACCTCGAGAGCCGTCGTGCTTCTCGAGAAAAGCACATGTGGCAGGGAGTGGCCCTTGCCCTGTCCCCTTGCCCCGTGCAGGTCTGTCTGGGCCTCGCTGCTCGGGCTCGGGCCCTGCTCCCCAAGGCCTGATGCTGTGGCAGGTGTTTCCACCCGCTCGGTCTCATCCTCCACCCACTTCCTCCCTCCTGCCCAGACGAGGGACACGATGATGACGGCACCAGCACGGGAAGGTGCGATGAGCAGCGTGCCGGGCTGCTCGGCCCCGGCGAGGCTCCCTGCAGCCTCCTCGTGGCCGGCACATCCCTGTCTGCAGCCCTGGCCCCTCGGGGTCCGCGTGGCCCGCCGTGTGCAGCCCTGCTGACTCGGAGGGGCCTGCCTGCGGCACGTCTGCAGGATCGGGGCCTCCCTCAGCTTCGCCGCGTGTCCACCGATGGCTCCATGGTGTGATCCTGCGTCAGCCCCTGGAGAAGCCCTTTGCTCCTGCATGTCTGCTCCAGGGTGGTGTGTGCGCATGCGGGTCTGTGCTGGGGGGGGCTCTGACTCCAGTCTTTTTCTCCACCGTGACCTTCCCCGGGGGTGTCGAGCCCGTTCCCCTGTCTGGCTCCCCTGCCGTGTGGGCTCTGGGTGCAGGATCCTGCTGTCGGAGTTGGACGCAAACTCCTTCCATTCAGATGCCGTCTGAGCAGACGTGCTACGCGCGTGCTTTGTGCGTTACCCCGGGCAGGCGCCGGGGCCTGCGAGCGCGGCTGCTTGCACCGCCTGCAACAGGGAACATGTGAGGAAAGCACAGACCGGTGCTGCTGGGGCATGGGGAGGCCGCTGGCTCCTTCCTGGCCCGGTGCTTGCCTGGCCCCCATAGGGCTCGCGGGGCAGCTGCTTTGTGCCGACGGCCCCGCGTGGCTCGGCTGTCTTGCTTTCCGGTTCAGGTCCCCCCATGTCCTGCTGCCCAGCGGGGACGCCGCCCCCCGGGGGTACAGCCTCTGGCACCCCAGTCCCCAGCCCAGTCCCGGGGCGCTGCTGGCTGGAGGCAGGGGCTGCTCTCAGGTCCCTGAGCTGGCCCGCCTTGAACCTCAGTGCAGGGGGGGGCCAGGAACCCCCCAGTCCTGCATGCACGGGACTATAAATCAGCCGTGTCTTGCTCTCTAATGAGCTCCTGCTCCCTTCCTGGGCAAGCCCGTGTCCATCCCATCCCTCCCCTTGGAAGCTCCTGTTGCCCTGTTGCTTTATCTATAGCAAAGGTCCCGCTTATCTCCGCTCTGCCCCGTTCTAAGGCTGGTTTATGAGCAGCGCTTTGTATCTTAATCATTTCTTCCTTTCTTTTTTTAGCGTGGTCACGTGGCCTCGGAAGCCAATGAGGCAACTAACGTGGGCCCATCTTCCCCAAGACTAGCCCCCCGTTGGGAGGAGATTGGCCGGGCATCCGGCACAGGGCTCGGCGCGAGTGTGCATGTGTGCGCATTTCTATAGCAAATACCCATACGCTAGAAGGAGCGCCTATAAATCACCCCCCCCCCCCCCCC